TTTCTTGTGCCCTCTTTGTTATACTTGTCTTTTTCACCTTTGTCTTCTCTAATTTGTTGTGTTCCCTCATCTCTCAGATTTCCTTTTCACTGAATCATAGAAAAATAGGACTGAAAAGGACCTGAAGAGGTCATCTAGTCCACCTCCTCCCCCTAGGCAGGATCAACTGTCCCTATATCATTCTTGACAGATGTTTATCTAACCTGTTCTTGAAAATCTTCGGTCAGGAGGTTCTCTGACGTTCCTAGGCAACCTAGGCCACTCTCCTTAGCATTCAAAAGGTCTTCCTGATGCCTGGCCCTAGACTCCCTTACTGCAATTTAAACTCATTACTTTCTTCTCCTTTCCATTAAGTCCTTATTTTGCCCTTGCTGTTTGTCCAGATTCTCTGTAAAACCAAGTAGCAGTTCTGTTATGATACAGGGCAATATTCTGTCAAAAGTTTTCTTTAGTTCCCCTTAGTTTCTTTCTTTTTCCTTATCTTATGTAAAATACGTTGTTACTCTAGCACTAATATGCAGTTTTCTGGATGCAGGGAACAACATCCCTGATCTCACAAGACCTTTAATACAGAACTCCTGTCAACCATCCCAGGCATGGGAATATCCTACATATATGATTTAAAAACAAAATTCAGTCTTACAGACCTAATTCATTCTTTGTCTCTGCATTGTCAGTCAATACTACCTTCACTGTTAGCAGCAGCATGTAAAGCTGATGTAAAAGAAATAAGAATCAGACCCTTTGCAGTTTTCAGTTTATTCTTATAAAGTATTATGATGCACTTTACTCTTCTCATATTCACCTCATTCCTCAAGCTGTAGTGTGCATACACATATTCCTGCCAGATACTGATCAGTGTTGCATACAGTCATCATTCTGGCATGTCTACTATATGCACCTACACTGAATGGCACTTACAGCAACTGCTTCTGTAATTTCTGTGCCTCCTTCTGTCTTTAAATGGAAAATGCACAACAGTCATAAATATAATTCATATCATATGTATGTGTCCAAAATTGGGAAAAGTCAGCTATTGCAAGTTCAAATTGATTCTGTCATCTAGAATCTAATTCATAATCTAATCGTTGTCTCTCCTTAAGGCTATTTCTGGAGTGGAAATTATAGTGGATGAAAAGAGAGAGAGTATTTTAATGCAATTTCATGACATAGATAACTATCATTGTTCTTTAAGCGGGACATTTACAGCTTAACCATCATGTCTGTAAATCAGAGGGGGTGCTGGAAATTATGTAGGGAGTTAAAAATGGATTCCTCCCTCAGTCTCTGGTCAAGCCTTATGGTGACTCTTTAGCCTCTTCAACCCAATTGCTTGCTTCTCCCTCACAAGCAGTGAGTCATAAACCAACAATCTGTAAATATCCCTTATATATTGCTTTTGCACCTAAGCTTACTGTGTAGGAATACTAGCCATATTCCTTTTTGCCCAGCTATATTTTGGGAATTTCTATATTTGTTTAAAGATTTCTGGACTTTCAACAAGAAAACTGCCAAGCTTCTGGGTATCCCAGTTATTTCAAAAATATATTTGCAAATGCATTGTACAATACATGTACAGAGAATCAAACATTTCCTAGACTCGACCATCACACTGTGCATGTGCTCTGACTGTGTGCATTCCTTGCATGCACAACTGGAGAATGCAGAATGCCCTCTCATTCTGGAGCTTCCTGGAAGCTTCAAATTTATTGTGCACATGCTCAGCAGTTCAACTGTTCAGGGACTTTATGTGTAGCATGGCTGGAAAATGCTGGGTTTGCCATCTGCCTGAGTAATACTGATGGGAAATTGTTTAGAATAATAAAAAAATTATGGGAGGAAGGTCAAGGTTCAGGAGATTATCCAGACCACTCTGTTGTTCTCAGGTGGAGTAACTATTTTTAGCTAATTTGCTCTTAAGCATTCTCATAGACATCCACAGATTCCACCAGCAATCTAGGCCAGTGCTTCACTGCCACGTTAGACAGCTTTTCCCAGAAACTAATTTGAACTTTCCAGGTTACGTCTCATTCTCTCCAGTATAAAATGTAAGACAGAATAATTATCTCCTCTTTTCATTGGCTCTGCCTGTGTTCAAAGCAGGCATCATATTCCACTTGGTCTTCCCTTCTTTAGATTTAACATGGCCAGTTCATGCCAGGTGTCTTCATAAGCCTCAGGAAACTCCCAAGCATTCAGTCACTCTAATTATTCTCCTCCAGCTAGTCCAGATTTTTCTGAAGTCTGGCATCTAGCTGTGGACATGGCATTCCTCTCTGCAGAGGTCTCTCCCGTGCTTAGTAGAAAAGGTGCACTTCACATGCACTGCAAACACCACTCCCACTCACACAGCTTGGTATGGGAAGTGCCTTTACATCACTTTTGTAAGACCCCAGGATTGCAGCTGGCATGTTCAAACTGACAGGAACATTTTGATTCCTAATCCTTGCATCCAGCCTGTCAAAATTCCCTCCCAGCATGTTATCAACATGTAAATTTACTAATGATATTCTCTGCTTCATCATGCAGGTCATTAAGAAAATATTGAGTAGTGCAGAATGAGGACGGAAGCACCATGCATGCACACTTCCGTTTCCACAGATATCTATCCTCTCAGTTTTGTTTTCCAGCTACTTTTGCATTCATTCTGCAGCAATTTCACCTAAACTATGTTTCCTTAGGTTTTAAAGAATGTCACACGAGGGAGTGTCGAGACACTTGTAAAGTCAAACCACCTACTGCTTTTTCCCTGTCTGCAAGGCCAATTACCCTGTCTTAGAGGGAGATCGGATTGGTTTGACACAGTTTGTTCCTAACAATCCATGTTGTCCGTTGCTACCTTGTTTTCTTGTGGGTGCTTACAAATTGTTTGATTATTTTTTCAGTACTTTTCCACGGTTGAAGTTTAGTTGACTGGACTATAATTTTACAGATCTTTCTCTTTAAAGATAGCTGCTGCATTTGCTCCTCCATCCTCATAGATAAGTACTAACATCTTTAAGACTGTTCCACATAGTGTGAGAGCATCTAACTCATCTAAATACAGTACTTATCTTCCCTTGCCTAGGCTGAAATCTTTAGTTTTGCCAGAGATTCCCTCAGACAACAGACCCAGACCCCAAATGCCTGCTTGTGTCTGGATGTGATGTGGGTATAATGGATGACCAGAGAGTCCATTTCTGCAGTGTTCAGAGGAGGGCAGCCCTCCTAGTGGGATGTTTCCCTAGGAGAAGATATTATAAAAGTAGATATTCTGGGTTGGGAATTGTCTAAAGATAAAATCTAGTCCTTAGAGAAATTTTTTTAAGATGCCCAGTGCTTGCATGGGTCTGAAATCTGAAAGCTTTTCAATCAGCTTCTCAACTATTATCCCCTTGATAAAGTGCCAGTTATATTTTTTAAAATGTGCTTGATCCAAAACCAAAAATCCTTGAGATAATAAAATGCTTTTGTTTATTGGTCCCTAAGGAAGTCAGAATAGGCTAAAACTGGCCAGATAAATAATTGTCATTATTGTTAAAGGGTAAATCAAAGTTTTTTGCTTCATTTTCTGTTTCATCATTCCATGTGGAAGGTAGAAAAAGAAGTTGTAATTTTTTCCATTCTTAAACAGACTGTAACAGGAACACTGTCATTAAAATAGTTCATACATATTCCACAGAAATGTGTCATCTTGAATGTGAACAGATACCTTGATCTACAGTGCTATACAATTTGTTTTCTACTTAGCATCAGTCATTTCTGTGTCCTGGGAGCATAATACATATAATTTGACTGTTACTAATGAATGTAGCTCCTTTTCTAAAGTCATTTGTTCAGTTAGATATCAAAAGAGAAAAACTCATACTCCTTAGCATTCAAGAAATAGATTTGAATTGCTGACTTCAAGCAAGACCGAATAGGCCATTATCTTTTCCCCTTTTAGAAAATGCAGGTAGCAGCTCCTGCTGAAAAGTGAAGCCTTTTAGGATATTTTTATTATCTTTTTGGATCACTACCAAGAATCAACATAAAATAAAAGTATAATAAGTAGCGGTCACCAGAGTACATCAGAACTGTATTACTGTATTCTTACGCTCTGAAAGGGCTTTACTGGACTACTAGAATCCAATTCAGAACTGTAAGGTCCATTGTGTACTTTCATTTTGTAGAGAAACTGCCCTTGGATTTTCTGGGAGTTTTATGTGAAAATCAGTACCAGAGAATGTTCCTAGTTTTCAATCCCACGTGAAAGCATGTTATAGGCAGAATGGATTAATGGTTCTTTCCTTTCCCCTAGTGAACAACCAAAGACTATGTTCTTGTAAATTTGTAAAAAAAAAATTTTAGAAAATCAGATTCATGTATCACAGTGTATCATTTGCATTTACCATGCTCACTAGACTTTTTAGGTGTGTCTTACTGCTTACAGTCCTGGTGTGAGTGGGGATCAGAAGTTTCCCTGTGAGTTTTAGTCAAGGATAATTCATCCATTGCGAAATAAGTTTTCCTCACTTTTGTTTGTTTGCTAGATCTGATGTCATAAAACAAATTATTACTTCCCATAGGAAAGAGATTTTGCCCCGATTTATGTCCTCTTCCCTATTCCCAGTCTTCTTGGCCCTCGTCCTGCAGTATGAGAGGACGTCTCTGAAACAATGCTGATTTATGTGAGAACCCATGTAGGGAATAAAAGTCTAACTTAATGAGTCAGGAAAAAGGTAAGCTCATATATTTAATAAGTCAGAATACTACTGTGGATGTCATAGGTCTCATCACCAATTTCAAAAACAGTATTTTGCTTCTAGTTAGATTAAGTATCCAGTTAAACTGAGTAAAAATTTAAAGACAACATTCAAAACAGCTCAGATTGCTCTGTAACAGTCACCCAAACAAAGCCCATGGTGTTTAGTGCTCCGATATGATTTGTTCCCCAGAAGTAGATGGGTGAGATGGTGCATTGAAGGTTTTCTATTACTGGTTCCCTTTCTAAATACCTATTTTTACATTTTAACATATAGCTCCATCAGCCCTCCCAGACGCAAGTGGGACAAGCAGCCTCACAATCCAATCTCCTGCATTTGGCTCACAGTCAAGCATCTATGTCTCAAAGCCCAGTGCGTCAGGCTTCCTCTTCCTCCTCCTCATCCTCCTCCTCTTCAGCTTTGAGTGTTGGCCAGTTAGTCAGCAGTAAGTATTGCTCCTTGGCTCTCCTTAATTCTCCCCACTGTTTGTCCTCCTCACTGCTGAGTTTCCTGATCTGCTTTCCCTCCTTTTGTTTTTTTAAATATAGTAGGTTGTATATTGCTAAGTAGAGTGACACTCACCAGTAAATACTAAGTGCTGTCGTGGATGGGGCTTAAAGTAAACATGCCTTGAGAAATTGTAATCAATGCTGTAAATGGTCGTAAAAATTGTAGCAGCCATGAGGGCAATTCTTATAACTGAAATGTAGTTTATGTTTTTTTGAAATTAGAAGTTTTTGAATTAGTCAATATAATGAATTATATTTCTCAGAATTTGGTGGGCAAACAGATCCTCCTACTTTTGGTTAAACCGCTTGTTTTTTTGCTTAGTTGATATAGTGAACCATTTTACAAACCCTTGTATGACACAAATCTAGAGTAAGACACTTTTCTGGCCAGGAAAAGTTTGCACAGTTTAAACAAGAATGAACTGGAACATGTGGGGGAGAAGAAAGAAGCATGCTACAGTAAAACTGAGTTTTAGTGTTAGCTGACCTGAACAGCCCTTTCTTGCAGATCACATAGATCAGGGTCTTTGCTATTAACTTATCAGCCCTAACTTTGGTCTTTACCTAGCAATAACAATGGGTTGAGAGTATACATATGAAGCATTAACAGTTCAAAAATCAAGTTATTTGGAGGACCTTGTTCAGTGATGCTTCATGTACATATTTCAAGTAAACAAACACTATAGCTCATGCCATATTGTTAATGTAAAATATATGATTGATACAAGCTTATGAAGGGCTTGGAGAAACTGCCATGGAAGAAAATATGTGAAAAAATCTTGGTTAGATTATTTCAGAGATTGTTTACATGGGGAAGTATCTAGTAGAGCTAGAGTGGTAAAATTATGCTGATATGACTCCCAGTGTGAATACTTTTATTCTGTAATAAAAATATCTGCATACAGCTACAGTTATAATTATAGTGATATAAATATACTGCTATTGCTCTGTCAGTAAATTTTCTCATGTAGACATGCTTGTAGGATAAGAGGCTTCAGGTTAAAAATACATAAAGTTTACCCCTTGTCTATGTGGGAAAATTGAGTAAAACAGCTGGTGTGGAATAAGTTGTATTTCAATGGCTAGTCCAGAATAGCTCCTCTTGTGGACATTCTATTTAAAATAAAAGCAACATGGAAGAAGCTCTTTTAAATTTGCAGAATAAGCCTGTCAAAGTTTAGGAGATGCTAGAAAAATAATTATTTGTTCAATTGTATGCAATTCCTCTTAGAACATGTATTTTATTATAACAAGATTTTGTTATGATTAAAATCATGCAAGCATGATCTTTTTTCTCATCCTTCTTTCAGTGCATTCCCAATGGAATTGTCTTAGGGATGCATTAGAATTACTAATGCAACAGGTGGGCTGTTGTCCCCAGGTTTGTTCCTTACCTGATTCACTAAACTGTTCCCCAGTTTGCATAACATTTGAGGTAGGGAGCTGTAGAAGGGTGAAGGATGGTCTTGTCTCAGGCAGTAGCAGCCTAAAGAGCTGAAGCTTTCTGTCTGCTATGTAATTCCAGTGCAACAGCAGGCAAATCACTTAAAAGAGATTTTTCGCAAGTGGTCCCTCAATATCCAGCTTGAGACTCTGGACTTTAATTTACAGAAGAACCTGGTTCTCACAGTTACAATTTTAAGTGCCCTTTCACTGTGGAACTGTATCAAGAACCATTTAAAGACAATCTAAACCACCATTTCCTACTTGACCTAGACTGGGTACCCAAAAATGCTTTTTCCCTTAATATCTGTCCACTTCTTTGTGAATGAGAAGGGGAAGACCTTCATCTTGTAGAAACACAATAAAATAAATTAAGATTTTAAAAAACCCAGAAGAGCTCAAGAGGAGATGTCTTGAGTGAAGGGCTTTAATGGGGGTCTGGAGCCACACACTGAACAAGTAAAAAGGCAATACATCAATCAGTTCAACTGTAATGAAGGACAATTCATCCTGTGCACTGGACAGGGCACATGAAAATTAATTGGTAGTCCAGGGCTCAAAATCTATGCTACACTGTGTTGTGGGCTGTTGTAACTCCAGAATATTGTAGCTTCTGTGTGTTTATTTCTGCAACTCTAAGGATGTTCTTTTACCTTTATTTTTTGCTTGAATACATTTCAAGGTTGTTACAAAAGGAAAATAGTAACATAAATTAGTCATATGGTGAGATAATGCTTATGTCTGTAGTTGGAAATAGGAGATCTGTTGGATGGATGGTAAAGCTGATAGTTCTGTTATCACCTTGTTGGTCCTGCTCTAAAAGGAATAAGACACATGCTGTGCTTATGCTTCTGGCTGAGAGCAGAGGAGTATGAGGCACAGGAATATCTATATATCAAGGGTTGGACTTGATGATCTCGGATTTCTTTTCCAACCCGGTTGATTCTATGATTCTATGATTCTATTTGGGCACGAGTGGGAGATACACAAATGAACCTAGAATTTATATTTGATTCTCTCAGGCTTGACTCCATTCGTTGCTTGTCCTTTTCCAGTCCCATTACTTCCTCACGCTGTTCTTCACACAATCTATGCTCCCTTTGCCTCCATTTTCCTCTAACCTTCTCCCTGCAGTTCTTTCACCATAGTCCGTCATTGCCCAGCTCCTCTTCCCTTTTCACTTCCTCTCCTCCAGCTCTCATTCAGTCGCTGTCCCTAGACAGTGGTAACTACGCCCTGTTACCAGTCTTTTTATTAGGTAGTTTTTGTCCTCCTCTATCTTATTTTACCACTAGTGCTACTTCTTTTTACTTATTTTCTTTCCTCTACCACAGTGATTACTATTCTCTGCACAGTCAGGCCCTCTCTCCCTCCAGTCCAGACTCAAATCCCTGCTCCTTAGTAGTCTTCAGGTTTGGCTTTTTCCTTCCATCATTTCTTTTTCTTTTCTAGACTAAAGGTTAATTTTTGCCACCTCTGCATCCAAATCATGCTGATGCCACTCCCATGCTCCCTAGAAGCCTTCAGAGGAGTATGGGAAATGATCACCAAGAAGAGCAACAAGTCAGTCTCTCTGTCTTTACAGTTGTCCTGTCACAAAGCAGGCCAGAGCCACAACCATAAGAGACTTTTCATCCTATTAGACTGAGGAAAGTGTTGCACTTGGACATAAACTCATTAGGATTCAGAGTCTTAAGAGCATTCCAAAGGAAGATGTTATTGATTGGGATCTCCTGAAAAAAACCCGTAATAGATAATTATACATAAATAAAGACTTCTGGAGTTGTTTTGAATTTATACTTCCAGCTTCATCCAGTCTCTAGCCACTCAAGACCAACAGAAGGAGTAGCATGAGAGGCAGGTCAACTCACTTCTGCCATTTACATAGCATTCTCACACAGACAGAAGTAAACCAGCCATCTCAAGGATCCATAATGTCTGTCCAGTATACCCTTGAAAGCACGTAGCCAAGCACTAACTGGAGCTAACACTGCCTGCTTAAGCCTGCTTGAGCTGCCACAGTGATGGTGATGGTGTTCCAGGGCACAGTAGAGCTACCTACTGCTTTTTAGTAATGTGGAAAGAGCCTACAAGAAAGAGGAAAATATGATCAGTGCAATAAGAAAAGATCAAACAACCTGTGTAATGGAACATGAAAAGTCAGACAGGATCCTTCATAGCTTTTCATTGTTGCTAATAAACCAGTGATACTTTTGGGACAAATAGTATTAAATGATCTTCATGAATTTGAAAATTGTTTCATGTGACTGAAAATCCATTTGCATACATATGTGACTGTACATGGGGAAACAAATAGACAGAAAGTCATCCCTGTTTTGCTTCTTTGTAGAATCTGCTCAGCTTCTGGACACAGATCCCTAAAGGACAGGAGCACCTCTTTGTCAAGGCTGTGGCCCATAATTAAACAAAGCCTTCTTAGCTTCACAGCTCCCACACCAGCTGCAGAGCTTTGTATACCAGGCCTGCGATTTAAAAGCAGCGTCTCAAAGTCCATTCAAAGTCTTTCAGTGTGATGAGGTGGGCAATGGGTCAGGGGTTCTGAAAGAAGTTCATAGGCATGAAGGCAGCAAGAAACAACTTGATTGCTTTATCCCTCCTGAGGTAGGAATATTGTTACTTCCTTTTCCTCATTCCTTCCAAAACTGCAGTCCAGACCTCCAGCAGCAGTCCTAGGGTTGAGTACCTTGGCAGAGATTTTCCATATTCCAGAAATTGTTCCTAAATATAGCAAAGTTCATGTAAAACTAGGCACATTCAGCCAGCTTGTTTGGTTAATCAAAGTGCATAGAGCAACATAACTTCAGTAAATAAATATTTGGGGCAAGCTTTTGCACAGTGACTGTAAAGAAAGTAACTCTTTTACAAGAGGTTGCCTCATATCAAGAAATTACTACAGTACAATGAGAAAATATTAAGAACTGGTCTTTAATAACTTTAGTGTTCTATGTTCCTTGTTTTTATTCCTTTTGCTTTTCATTCTAGTAATATTTTCTTTATGATTTTTTTTTTCCTTTAACACGTGTCTGAATTTTAAAAAGGTGCATTTCCTTACTTTTTTTAAAATATTTTCCTTTCTTTTTTAATTCCTGTCCTGGTTTTTCCCCTGGATTGTAATCTTCTTTATAGCTTTTCCCTTTTATCTCATCATCACCCCTTCATCCCTAACCAGCAACAAGTGCTAGTTATTCTAAAGACAAAAAAACCTGGTTATTTCCAAATAAAGGATGTTCAAAAAGTTCTGCCTAAGCAAGATAAACTTATTCGAGGTTCATCTCTACTCTTCCTATTACTTCTGTATGATTTCTTCATATTGCCTCATCCTGTCTCTATTCTCTTTTGTCTTCTTTGTTGTCTCTTCTTTCAATTCTACATCATTATTCCTACCTTTTATAATTTCATATTCCTATTCTGAAATGCATCCCTCTGCTCATTTCTTTAACTTTTCCACCATATGTTCTCTTTGTGGAAATCACTAGTTTCCCCTTGTTCTGTGGCTTGTGTTTCCATGAAGTTCCTTTCTTCCTTCCAAATTCATTTCACTGTCATCTGTTACTATAAAATTAAAATGCTTCCCATAAACAAATTATTATTCTTTTTTTCCCCTGAGCTCCAGTCCATTTTCCGTTATCAATGTTTTGTCCTGCCTTTCTTATCCAATTTACTTTCTATTGGACCTCCCCTGCCAGCTATTTCTCCTTCTGTCTGACTGGGGAAATCATCCTCCTGTAATCCCTCCTGTGGCAGAACCCTGTGCAACAGAAATTTGCTTTCTCCTTCAGGGTGCACTGATTTCTCTGAAGCAGTTCTTTCCCCCAACTATTAAAATCACAGCATATTTTCACTCACCAAGAAACTCATGTGGGATTTTCAGAAGAATTCAAAATTGGGAGAAGTATTCCCTTCAGTAGAAAAAAAGGGATTTCAATGCAGGAGAACCTGTGGATTTTATTTCTTCAACTCTTCTCATCTACCTTCACCATCCACCAGGACAACTAGTGAAATTTTGTCTTTCTTTCTTTTTGTTATGAGATACGTACACATACCTCCTGAAATGGTCCCAGATAACTCTCTTACCTTTCTCCAGCACCCAATAGTTTCATAGACACAACAGCCATTGTTTCCTCATGCACTAATGCAAACTTGGAGTCTTGAAATGCTGTTACTGTAGGTTCCAGCCACTCAATAGAATTGGTATTTTCTATTTTCCTGTTGATACTGGCCCGTTATCTATTTGAATGTATTTATGTACGTGCATATATTAGTTCACAGAGTCCAAGACTACATATTGATGGTATTCTAATAGCAATAGAGTAAAACAGACCTATGCTGTTATATGATAATGTCAAAAGAATGGTCTTCATAGCACTATTTGTGTTTTATGGATGTGATTACTTTATAAACCTGAGTGGCCACTGTCATAGCGCTGACTACTTAAAAACAAATGATATGCACCCTAGCTTTATACTGAAGGAGTGAATGGGAGGTAAGCTCAAGCACAGCAGTGAGAACAGGAGAGATGATTCTGAGTGTGGAGCATTGTCAAAACTAGGTTCAGCCTATGTGAATGTTTACCTGTGGTCCCTGGTTGCATACACAAGAATTTTAAAAATACTATTGCTGTGTCTGCTTCTTACACTCCAGAAATGAATAGATACAGGCTGAATTTTTATATCAGAAAACCTTTTTCCCTCTGTCTATTATTGGACAAAAAGATTTTTTTGTAGGATGTTTTTCCATCATAAGGAAATTTTACACCAGGCTTATAAACCTCTGAAAATAAAAGCTTTTTTACTGTAATCCTGACGAGCCCACAACTATGTCATACTAGCAGAAGCCACTCTTATATAGGGTTTAGTAATGTAGTCTAGCGCTGTCCTTGCACAACTGCTTGCATTTACAGAAATTGAGGGGTTATTGTGCTGCAAACTTTTCACCTCGAAGTCTGAGGAATGAGGTGAAGAACAATAGAGATATCTCACCGGGAGAATGGCTTCACTACAGGCAGGATTGCACAACACTTTGAAATCTTCCACCGTCCCAGTCCCATGCTGTCTCTGACTTGGTGAACACTTTCATTTAGTCAGGGATCAGTAGCTTGGGAGGGGGGAGAAAGTTCCATTCTCCAGCTGTTGTGTCATTTCCCTTGATAAGTCCTAAATTGACTGAGTTATCCATCTCCAAAGGAGCTTTCCTGTGGTAGACATGCTTTATTATGTGCCCTTTCAGGGACAAAGGCTTCTGTGTCAGTAAACTGCTATAGAGAGGAAGGACAGATTTATTCTCACAGCATCATAAGTATTATCTTCTGAGGGGCTAATGTAAAAGTAAAAAACTGTGCAGCATTACCATCCAAATCCAAAGTTGCTGCTCCTTGATTATCAACTTGATGGGAGACAGAATGAAAAGCTTGAAAGGCTGCTTCTCAGAAGGGCATATTTTAAAAATGATTTTTAAATCAAGTGGGTTTTAAAGGCAGCATTTTGATTGGGTTTGTTCATTTGATGGGTTATTTTGGATGTTCAGCTGGCAGTTTGTGTTGTGTATTGTGGAAAAGGGAAGAAATGGTTGTGAATCTCCTTATTTGGCATTAATTTTAGATAAGGCAGAAAGTCTTGATTTCAAGTTAAAAATCCAAGCAGTTCATACATATATTTAAGCCCTCCCCACAAACTGGAAATAAATATATTAACACTAGCCTTCTTTTTGATAAGAAGGGAAAACAGGGAACATGACTCCTCAACCCAGGGAAGATTTTGCAAGGCTTAACTGGCAGTGAAGAGCCCAGGCACCCTCTCACTCTGTGGTGAGCAGGCCATTTTCAGAAGTTCAGTAACAGCACGTTCTTGAAAAACTTCCACCAGCACCTGCAGACAATGCAGCCTTGTTACCATTTTAGCAATCTGAACATACTTCATAACGCACCTGACAAGGCAAGTCTGTTTCTGTTTGGGGAAGAAGAGAAAGGGATAAGTATTAAAAAAATTGAACTTGAACATCTTGACAATGAAAGCTGGTGTAAGCCTATCCCACTGATATGTGATGCAAAGAACTGACATGATTAAAAAAAATATCTCAACAGATCCTCAAACAGCCACTGGAGAGGTGGATGGGGTTAACCTGGAAGAAATCCGAGAATTTGCCAAAGCCTTTAAAATCCGGCGCCTGTCCCTTGGCCTGACACAGACTCAAGTTGGCCAAGCCCTAAGCGCCACCGAAGGCCCAGCCTATAGCCAGTCTGCCATCTGCAGGTAACAAGTTACATCATAAACTCTCCTCTCCTCTCTTTATTCTTAAAAATTATTCAGCTTATTGTGAGGAGCATGCTTGTGTTTGAGTCTCCTGTCTTTACAGTTTATTATTTAATCTGAGATTTAAATTGGCCAATAATGTTAACTGACAGATAAAATGTTCTTATTGCGTAACCCTAGAGTAACTTTGGTCTTTTATTTTTATCTTCTTCTTTTTTAAACAAGTGAGAAACAATGTTCCTGGCACTGAGACTTAATTCTGTAGATGAGCTGGAGACCCTGCTGATGCTGGATAAGCACCAGCTGACCCTCTTCATACTGTGCCATTTTCTACAGATAGGGTTACTGAACAAATATTTCATGGCTGCATCCCTGCTAAGTTAAAACCTATATTACTGTGGTTAGCACTTCACATAGAGGATGTTAATGATGATTTACCTAGGCAACATAGAAGGGAAAAAAATAACCTTCCTGCTATCTTGCAAACCAGCAGCTATTCATCTTTTATCACCCAAATATTTACTAAAAAAAAACCAGACAAACCCATGCATGCAAAACAGAAGCAGAAATCTGTCCTAATCATAAGAAATCATAATACAGTCTTGACAAAGCTAAAGTAGAAGCAAACGCCTTATATGCATGTATGTGTGTTAAAGTAATCCCATGTTTATGCATGAGGTAACAAACACACTTAGGTAACAGCTTTTTCCTCTTGGGCAATGCCTTATAGTCCTTCTCCATCAGTGAAAGCCAAGAAACCAACTCTAAGCTCATTTAAGTGGATTTCGTTCTTGGTGATCCATGAAATGCTCTGTCTTTTTATCTGCTCTTTATACTTTTAATGTATTCCCTATAGAACGGAAGTGTACTTTTCCTGCAGTTAAAGACTAAGGTTATAAATAACATCAGTATGGGGTAGTGAGCTTGCAGCTCACATTTTGCTCAATGATTTTCCATAAAACCCATTGATTGTTGTTAAATACAAAAAGCTCCATAGGATCCTCTCACTTCTATGGTCTCCCCTACTGTTTTTTCTTATAAGATACCCTCCCTGTAGAAAATAACCTTTATTCAGTCTATACAAGGATACTACTGCTGGGAAATTTGTTTCAAGACTTGTATATCGTTACACCAAACATGTACTACAGTATCAACACTAACAAGCAGTGCCAAGGATATGAACGCTATTGTTCCCTATTACTAAGGTTTAATTCTTTTTTTTTTTCTTCCTTGTGGTCAGTAGATAAAGAATGCCTAAAACAGGTGCAGTCTTAGAAACTGACAATTTTTTGTAGCCTTAAGTTGCTCTTTAATATACTATACTTTAAAGAGACACGTTGCAGTTTCCTTTGCTTTTGTTTAGTTTTCTGTCTTCTCATTTCATTCATTCTTTCTCACACCTTGAAAAAACACTGGGGACGGTGAGACATTTTACAGATGGATCCTTAGAGGGACAAATTTCTCAGAACATGAGGAATGGGTGCACAAGCTGGTCCCAAATACTTGCAAGGTTACAGGTTTTTTTAATTTCCTTTGCCTGCCCCAGATGGATACCACTTCAGAATGTAATAACATGCTATGACAGTGCATTTTTTGTTAAGCACCAAGACAAGCTGTGTTGCAGAACAAGTATGTGTTCATCAGAAATATTAGTTTTAACTTTTCTTTTAAGGGTACCAAAGGAGATTCAGTATGAACTCTAGGTTAATGGAAGAGACAGTAAGGCAAACAAGTTGAACAACCAACTCAAAGACAAGAGTAGAGTCTCCTGCTGGCCTGTGCAGGTCATATTAGCAATATATCACCTTGATATGTTCTGCATGCAAATAACAGTGTTTTCTTTAGCTTGAGACAATAGATTTGAAAACACACTCTTCAGCCTGAAATATCACTGGACACCTTGTAGTCAATAACACATTAGGATGTCAGGCACCAGTTACAAATTCTTTGGAATTCTTATTATCTGAAATTATTCCTTGTCTTATTGTTTGTTTGTGAGAAATGCTTTGTTTCTTGCTGGAATATTTTCTGCTGCCTCCACATGCTGAAAATTACCAACTCCAGTCACTGAGTTTCTTTGCACAAAGGCACTGACTCAGTTGTCTCATCTGTAGAGCATGCTGTGATTAGTGGCAGTGGTGGTGTTTCAGCACCGGCTGGGCTGGAGAGCAGAGCAGCATCATGCAATAATTGTTGCCTTTCTGCAACATTAAATACTGCAACATGCGAAGTGGACAGAGCAAAGTGGGGAAATATAAATGGGTGCCACCAGAAGATTCGGGTTAAGATTTTTTAATGTGTAGCAAAAGAGAATGAACTCAGTAAAGGAAAGAAACAATTACCTATAAGACTTGAAATGTGAACTCAGCTCTTCTGCTTGTTTTTGAAAGGATTAAAGCTTTGTGTGGCTGCTTTTCCAGATGTTTTATAATACTTGTAAAATCTGGTTTGGCAAAAGACTTTTGATGGCAAAATGATATATAGAAGACCTTATTTACAGGAAATGATATCATTCTGGTACAGTTTGCAGAAATCCCACAATAAACTCAGCTTGGTGCCACGGCATATTAGTAGACTATTATGCTGGGTTTCATCTGGAAAACATGAGTTCATCTTTGCACATTGTGGGGGCAGTCAAGATAATTGCAAAGTGTCCAGCTGTTTCAGCTGAACACCACTGTGGATATGGGAATCTTTTTCCAACCCAGAAAAGGGATATAGCATTAACTTACAAACAGTGAAAATTGCTGAAAAAACAGAAAGGAAACCTGATATTCAGAGGCTAGTGACTGCCATTGGCTTGTATTATTAAGGCTGTGGTGCTTGGACAACACAGGATGGGAGGGAAAACAAAAGGATTAATCACAAAGATAAGATTATAAAATGCAATTGCCTTTGATATCATTTCCTGTAATTAGACTTAGTCTTAAGGGTTGTGAAGATCATCAGAAATATGAAAATGTGACAACCTACATTATTTAGTGTACTTAGAATTTTGTTGTAGTGCTTATTATGTGTTAGCTTAAATATCTAGTTTTATATATATACTTATAGATATACCTATCTGACAGTTTTCATAATCCATTGTAAATTACCTCTGCCAGTCAACTAGTTAGGCAGGCAGGAAGTCCCACCCTGGCAGAGCATCAGTGTAAGACTCTTCTTTCTCAATTTTCCCTCAGACACACCATCCTGAGAAGCCACTTTTTCCTACCACAGGAAGCCCAAGAGAACACTATAGCTAGCAGTCTGACAGCCAAACTGAACCCTGGCCTTTTGTATCCTGCCAGGTTTGAAAAGCTGGACATCACCCCTAAAAGTGCCCAGAAGATAAAGCCGGTGCTTGAGCGGTGGATGGCTGAGGCTGAGGCCCGCCATCGAGCAGGTATGCAGAACCTTACCGAGTTTATTGGAAGTGAACCATCCAAAAAGCGCAAGAGGCGTACCTCATTCACGCCACAAGCCCTTGAAATCTTGAATGCCCACTTTGAGAAGAACACACATCCCTCTGGGCAAGAAATGACAGAGATTGCAGAGAAACTGAACTATGACCGAGAAGTAGTTAGAGTTTGGTTCTGCAATAAGAGGCAAGCACTGAAGAACACAATTAAACGTTTGAAACAACATGAGCCTGCGACAGCAGTTCCTATGGAGCCTTTAACAGACTCTCTGGAAGAAAATTCCTAAAAACAAAACAAAGCAAAACAAAACAAAACCACACAGAAAATAAAATTGCACCAACAGAAATGCAACCATTTGAACTCTGTGAAAATACCTATTCATCACCCTTGTAAGTAAAAGACTGAGAAAACTACAAGAAGGACAGAACAGTTTATAAATGTCCATGGGTTTTCCTATTAAAAAAAAAAATACACGACACTTAGTGTGTGTGTGTGTCGTAGAATTAGTTCCCAAAAAAAAGAAAAAGCCAGTTTTTTTAAATGGACTTAAAGTAAACCAAATAACTGCTTACTTTTTTCTGTATATTATGAAAATATGAACACATTTTAAGGAAAAACAAAACAAACAAAAAAAAAAAGAAAAAACTTTTATCTGTTTAAAAGAGAATACAAGCCTGCCACCTGGAGGAGTGATTGTAGCCTTTCAGGTATCAAGTGCTGATTCACTATGAAAACTATTAACCAAAGTCAGAAACATGGCATTGCAAACTAGATTGTTAGTCTACTCTTTTATGAGTGTAAAATTGTGTTATGAATTTTTACATTTGTATTTTGCAAAGACAAAAACAACAGGATTAGTTTCTCTCATTCTTGTTTGCACCCCTGCAGGTGTGTACAAACAGGTGTTAAAGCCATTCCATAGCAGTCACCTCCTTTTCTTTTAGTCCAGAGTTTTGCAATCTCCTAGTGTCTGGGTGCCAAAAATAACTTATTTTTATTGTGATTTGTGGGGTTTGGTGTTTCTCTTCTAAGGGTGTGTGTCTTGGTTTGCATTTTTCTTTTCTTATTTTTTGGTTCTGATTCTATTTACTGCCTCCTCCCTTCCAGCTCATTCTCCACCCCTTCCCCAAACCCACATAACCCAGTACTGTTTGAAGACTTTTATACTGATACACTGAAATGCAACAGAGGACCAAGAAGGATTTAGGATTATGCCTGATGGACTGTCAGCCTACACTGAACATTGTGCTTTTTGTCAAATGTGTGGCTTGGGATTTCTCTGTCCTTTGGCTGTGATCCTGGAGAGGTTACCAAAACACATTTTGTAGTATAAATATAAACTGCACACTTGGTTTGATATTGCATCTATATTATAGTTCCATTTGAAGCAATTTCTCTCCAAAGTCTGCTAGCCAAAGAAATTTTTTGAGATTCTGATGAAAACAAATTGACAGGCCAAGAAGCGATGAGGAGGTTTTGATCATTAGATCATTATGGACTGTTTCAATGGTAGCGTTTTGTTCCTTTTGCCTTTTTTTGTGTTATCCTGATATTGATGCTTGCCCTGTTAACTTCTTCAGTAGGATGATGTGTTTCTGCAGGTGTTTGCTGTGGCCATTGGCTAGCATAAGCAACTGGGATGTAGAGAAACGCAGTGAATATCCCTTGGTAATGTAAGGTGGGTCACCTGCAATATGTAGGTGAACTGATTTTCCTTTAAAGACAGTTTATCTCTGTGGCTTCCTTTTTGATTGGACAAACATCACTAAAATACTGTGGTCATTGGACCTACAAGTATACTTGTAGTACTCTTGCTTAGGGCAAGAGAAAAGTGTTGCAGGTTCTTGATGGGGTATGGGCTGACCTATGAGAGTTGTCTGCAATTTTCATCTTTGTCTGAGTTCTGCTCCAGCCTTTGGGGTTCAGCCCTGTTAGGGTGAAAGGTGCGTCTTGATCAGGTCTTCCCAAAAAAAAACATCAGGGATTTGGTTCAACTCACTGTAGAAATGGTAAAATTCTGCTGGTATAACTCGTGATTGCAGTCCTTGACCTTAGGATGGTTGTACTGGATTCTGGTCTGCCCAGGATGTTGGTCTACCCAGGATGCTGAAGGAAGTTCCTGAAGTGCTGTAGTCTTCAAATAACACCTCTTTTATTAACAGAGTTTTCCAGAACTCAAGAACTCCAAAACTTAGTGAAAGAAACAGACTTTCATTGATTTCAATAGGCTTTGAATCTGGCCCTCACTATTTTATTAATGGAATTTGCCTTGTAGAGTGTGGTATTTGCTGCATGGCTGAGGGAGTTTTAAGGTTTCAGAGAACCATCATCAGGGCCAGAAACTGCTTCTAAATGTGAGCACTCTCAAAGGTCAGGATTGGAGAGCACTGACAATCCAGTACTCCAGGATGGGCTCACGTCCAGCAAATGCATTTTAGACTTTAAGCTTCAGCAGGGTATGTTTAAGGATATTTTCAGTATTGCTTTTATGAGGAGGAGAGTGAGGATTGTTATTGACTCTTTTTCAACTGTTGATATATAAATAACTGCTGGGGGAAAAAAACACCACAGTAACCACAGGCAAATTGTGAGGGACAAAGAAGATGCTTTACCCAAGCTGAGCATGTAAAGTAAAGAGAGTCTCATGGCTACATCTGCCCCTCTGAGGTTTTTTTTGCCCTCTGTCTCCAAAGATACCTATGTCCACAGAAATATCTCCGTTATCTATATCAAACAGCCCCAAATTTGTGGCCACAGTTCAATTTACATAACGATCAGACCACCAACCAGAAGCCAACAGGGAAGCAGGGAAGAATGGATCGTATTTGGAAGCAGACACTCCTGAATCCTACCCGTGTCTCCAGTACAGTCCTAATTGCCCAGTCATTAATGCCACATACACGATTACCCGTTCAGTCATCCTTAAGAACATACCCTCCCCCGCTCCATCCCCCTCTACAGCCTGGGAACAAAACCATCAACCATTCTTTGCCTAAAAATGAAATTTCCAATTCTCCCAGGGACTGCTCTAAATTCTGTGAAGAAAAATCCCTCAAGAAGAAAAGTTAACTAAACAGTGTATGAAAGATACTAAATGTTTAAAAATATGCTGGCAGCAGTTACATAAGCTCTTTTCTGTTCCAAAGTACATATCAGAAGGATAAAACTAGGACAGTGAAAATGTAAAATAAATATAAATTGCCAGCTTGGAAGAAAAAATAATGTTTATCCCACAGTCTTAAAACCATTCATGTGCAGTGATTTTTTTTACAGTTTTCTAATTTTGTATTATGTTTTGTAAATTATTTATAAAGTGTTGTAATGCTTCTTATATTAATTTTTCTATAAACAAATATTTGCAATGAGGCATAAATGGTGCCTGAACAGATTCTTAGGAAGATAAATTATGTGTGAGTCATATATCTTTGGGAGGCCATAAATATTTTGTTTTATTTTGTTACTAGCAACATTTCTCATTTCCATTTGTAAACTATTTTCATGTACTGATAACATTTGAATATCTTTTAATTTTGCATGTGACTAAAGGATAGATTGCTACCAGCCAATGAAACAAAAGTCTCTTCAGTCGTATGTGATTGTTTAATGGTTTTCCAATTTATTGATCATTGAATTTTTTTAAATATATATATAAATATTATTTGAATAATGAACCAAGGGTTCACTTACTGTTCTGATTTTGTCTTTTTATGTTTTTCACTAAAAAGCTATTTTGGACAGTTGAAGAAATCAAATGCATTCAAATGGTTCAAATTTCTTTATGTTACTACTGAAAAAGAAAAAAAAGCCAAAAAAGAAAATAAAAGAAAAGAAAAGAAAAAAAATAAAAAGAGAGAACAAGAAAGAAAAAAGGAGCTAGGAATGAACAAGTAGAGGCGTATCAAAGAACTCAAGCTATAACCAAAAAGAAATATGTAAATGCCTTTGCTCGTCTTCTCAATGCTGGACCAAAGCTCAATGTATGTAGGTATATGCACATTGTATAGATATGGCTAAATGTTGCTGACAATCTCGCAATACTAAACTGTTACTATTTTAAAAAAATACAAAAATAAGACTGATCATCAGTGTTTTACCTCAGCACTCTACTTGTACCCAGTTATTGACCACCATTCAAATAAGAAGATAAGAGAGGAAATTGATTTCCATGTCAATGTTTGACTGTAAAATCTGTTTGGAAAACATTTTGTAATGAGCTTTTTGTCACGTGGTTTGCTTGTTTCCAACTTGAGATTATGTGGGGCACATTTGTTTATTTATTGTTTAAAAGTGATATTATTTATTAGTATTATTATTATTATTATTATTTTTGTCCTATGTGCTATAAACTACAGAATGGTCACCAGGGTCACTTATGAAGCACTGCAAAGAGATCTGTTTTTCCATGCGTGGAGCATACAGCAGGAAAGATGGCAGTACAAAATGGACTGTATTGTGTCTTTAAAAAATACGAATAAATGCAAAAGGAGTTGATATGGTGGACTTGTGACCAAGAAAACAAACTGGATATTTAGAAGCTCCTTACTACTCTGACTTTGAAACCAAAGCTGATTTATCTGCACAGGTTGCTTAACATGAAAAAAAAAAACTGACAAAAACTGTACTTAATCTAGAGCAATATCTGTATGGTCAGTAAAGCTGCACTTTGTGTATTTCTTAACAGCTTCAGATCTGTCACTTTTAATTTGTACCATAAAAAATAAAGAATTGTTTGACATGAAAAATAAGCTCCTTTCATGTGTTTGCCTTAAATCTCATGTGTTATTTACATTATCCGAGCTCATGTAATTTCACATCAGTTCAATACAAAAATAGTTAAATGCTTGAAAGAAAGGAAGAAAGAAAATCCATTTGCACTGTGAGGCATAACTTTATCTGCAAAACTAAACACTGTTTCTGTACCCAGAGTGGGTGCATGGATTGGCGATGTCTTATTTTCTCTACAGGGATGGAGAGTAGAGGATCTACCTCAGGAATATTCTGGAATCACTCAGGTGAGTGTGTGTTATCCCCCAGGCCAAACGGAGCAAAGCACAGATGGACATGAAGGCCAGAAACAGTGTATCTCCCCGTGCTTCCGCAGTTCCATACCAAAGTCCTGGTAAGCGATAGAAGGGGAGTGCCGTAGCAAGACTGGGTCAGCCATTCAAATGATTTCTCTTGCATTTTAGCAGAGCTCATGAGGTTCATTGCTCATTTCTTTCTGTAATTAGATATTAGGTCACAGAAATGCCTCTTTTTTCAGGTTACACTTTGAGTTATACTGAGTTCTATCTAAATACATGATTCTGAAAAATCAGCACATTTTGAGAAATGAATTAGTTGTATTATGAAGTTGTTTTGGAAAAAAACAGCCCATTAAATAAAAGCTCTGACAATCTTAGGATATTGTGTTTGAGACTTGGGAACAAAACGTTTGTAAAGACTTTTTCCTTTGATTTTGTTAAATATTGTTTTACATTTCCAGTATCATGTGTTAAGTAATCAAAAACTAAACCAAAATATTTATTTGATTAGAAAACCCAGGGAGCACCTGGAATATTTATTTGTCCTGATTTTTTTCCAGATTGGAGTTTTCCTTTTCTATGCATTTTTTCTGTATTTTATGGGATGCATCAGAAAGAGGAAGAAAAGGTAGCTTTCTTGTAGATATGTTGGTAGAGGCTTCATAAACAAGGTGGATATGGAAGAGGTATAGCGTTTTGTTAGACCAGTTATTATATGTGGAAAAAGTAGACAAGTTTTTAAGTGCCCAAATCCTCCTTTGGTCTGAAACAAAAGCAGCTGAATCCAAAGGTAAACAGAAGCTGGGAACAAAGAGAAAGGAGAAGTCATTTTGTATTTTGTATTATGGGCTAACCCATCATGTGCCTGCTTCATTACAAAAGTAGTGACTACAGGTTTCCACACACCACCTACTCATAGGGAGTTAATCAACACAGTTAATCCCCAAGGGGGATGCCTTGGGACTGCATAATCTTTACATGTCCCCACTGGTAAATACCTGCTCAACAGCAAACATAGTGTTTAGCCTAGCACACCCTAGACCCATAGGGGCATCAAAATTGCATCAGCTCCTCTAGGCATCATGCCTCCATACCATGGTCTAACAGCCATACTACAAGCCCACATAATTCATCTACTTATAATGATAAAAGGGCGTGAAGAATGACCTCTTGTGCTTTCATATCGCCTACTAAAAGCTGAACACCTATCTTTTCATTCAATAGTGATAAAGCAACAAGCATACATTGGTTAGAGGTTTTTCCTCCCTACCCTATTTAAAATGCAAAACTTCCTCTTTTGATCATACTGTAGGTGTTTTAGCTGCCTCACAGGCAACAGACCCTACCTAGCCATTATAGATCCAAATAACCTGGATCTATTTTCTTGAAAGAAATCGTGACTCTGCAAATTGAATCATGTTCCCACTGATCACTGAAATCTCAAAATTGATCCTACCCTAAAGCCAGTGAATGCTGACTATAAGACTTCACCACCACCTCACCCCCCTTACTGACTGCTTAAAAATCAAATTTCTAGAAATGGGTATTTCAGAGCTCCTTAAGTGCATCATAAAGGACAAAAAGCTTTAGGAGCACAATGCTTTCCAGTCTTCTCTGTTGTACTTCTAGCAAAAAAAACCCAACCTCCCCCCAAAAAAGAACATATTTGCAATATTCTTGATAAACATTAAATGCTGTCTGTGCCCTGCCCTTCCCTTAAGAGAGGTGTGATGGGAGAAGAGTTGGCACTAAGTGTTAGAGAACAACACAGAAGTTGTACAATACGTGTTTTTAAACAGCCTGTTCCCCTGTGCAGATGCTTTAGGACTGATCACAGACTAAATCTATACCTGTGAGAAAAGCTTATAGTACTACTAGGGCTTTGATAAGCAAAGACTCTCTTCTACTGACTTAAACTTCAATTAAACAAGCAGTCAGGAAGCAAAACAGACTTATCAAGAGGGAGGGTTCTCTTGTGGTTTGTTTTTTAATCTGAGAATTCAAGTTTAATATGAAACAGTCCCATATGAGGTTGTGAAGTTCTTGAAAATAATTGATAATTAAAGACTTGGAAATTTTTTTTCCTTTTCTCTCCCTGTGCTCAACAGACCTGCAAGTTTGGGGGGTTTTCTCATTCACAGTCCTTTACTGTTGCATTTTGCCACACTATGGACAGACAACATTGGCCCAGACTGAGAAGAGAGTCACCATGTAGACCACCAGCAGTGCATGTTTTTCAATCCAGACCCCAGTTGCCCTGGTTTCTCTAAAAGGCCAGCAGCAACCTTGTATAATCAGCAAAGCAGCTGCAGGGAGGACACGTAGCAGTTCATGTAATACTGAGTCTTTAATTTTATGGTCACTGAACTTCTTGTATTATTGCATGATCAGTGGCCTCATGTCAAAACACTTCTCAGCCCAAGAGCTGTGTGTGTGATCACAGGCACACTCAGTGTGGGTGGGTCTTGGGTCAGGCCACAAAATCACACACAAAATCAAGGAGCAGCAAAAGATGGCTTTGGAGGTACCAAGACTGTGGTAGGGACTACTTGAATGGGACAGCTCTAAAAGAACACAAGATTCTGTTTTTGTGGTGTAGCAGCTTAAAATTGCGGCCCGACCTCCACCAGCACAGCATCAACAAGCTTGTCAGGTATAGACTCACTCCCTTCTTTTCAGACATCACATAATGTTGGTGTTCAGTTAATGACCTCCTGGTTTTCAATGAACAAAACTCCATCCTCCATCCAATCTATCCATCAGTACCATCAACAGGAAGATCTCCCACCCTGTATGTTCTCTGTCAGTGATGGTCCCAAAATAGTTCCTTAAATGGTCACAGGATCCTGAGGGTCTTAAAAGACAGTAAGATGGTGACACTGCACAAATCTGAATTGTGTGGCAATTTGCAGTTTATTCTGGGGAAGCCAGGATTATCCCAGCAGCATGGATTTCCTGGCTGCAGCATGTAACCTCTGCATGCCCACACTTTTTTTTTTTTTTTTTAAGTCATTGAAGTACTTGTGCCTACCTTCAGTCATTCCGTTAGTTTATTGAATGGTTTGGGTTGGAAAGGACCTTAAAGAACATCTACAACCAACTCTGTCAGGGACAGGGACACCTTTCACTAAACCAGGTTGCTCAGAGTTCCACCCAGCCTGGCCTTGAACAACTCTGGGGATGGGCCATCCACAACTTCTCTGGGCAACCTGTTCCAGTGCCTCACCACCTTCACAGTAAGGAATTTTTCCTAATATCTAATCTAAACCTACTCTATTTTAGTTTGAATCCATTCCCCCTTGTCCTATCACTACTTGTAGGCTCCCTTCAGGTACTGGAAGGCTGCAATTAGGTTACCCAGAAGCCTTTTCTTTTCCATGCTGAACACATACAATTCTGTCAGCCTTTCCTCATAGGAAAGATGCTCCATCCCTCTAACCATCTTGCTGGCCCTCCTCTGGACTTTCTCCAACAGGTCAATGTCCTTCCTGTGCTGGGGACCTCAGAGCTGGACTCAGTACTCCAGGTTGGGCCTCACCAGAGTGGAGTAGAGGGACAGAATCACCTCCCTTGATCTGCTGGCCACTCTCCTTTGGATGCAGCCAAATGTGTTTGGCTTTCTGGACTGCAAGTGCACACTGTTGGCTCATGTCCAGCCCCTCATCCAGCAGCACCCCCAACTCCTTCTTGGCAGGGCTGCTCTCAATCCCCTCATCCCCCAGCCTATATTGATACTGGAGATTGCCCCAACCCAGGCGCAGAACTTTGCACTTAGCTGTGTTAAACCTCATGAGATTCCCATGGGCCCACTGCTCGAGCTTGTCCAGGTCCCTCTGGATGGCATCCCATCCTTCAGGTGTGGAAAACTCACCCCTTAGCTTGGTATCATTAGCAAATTTGCTGAGGGTGCACTTGATTCTTTGTCTATGTTATTAATGAAGATATTAAATAACACTGGTCCCAATATGGAGCCCTGCGGGACACCACTTGTCACTGATGTCCACTGTGACTCTGAGCCATTCACCACTACCCTCTGGATGCAACCACCCAACCAATTTCTTATCCACCTAACAGTTCACTCATTAAATCCATTTCTCTCCAGTTTAGAGAGAAGGATGGATGGTGTGGGGGAATGTGTCAAAGGCTTTACAGAGGTTTTACATCTGTAACCCTCCCCTTGTCCACTGACATAGTCAGTCCATCATAGAAGGCCACTGGGTTGGTCAGCAAGGACTTTCCCTTGGTGAAGCTGGGCTGGCTGTCTCCAATCACCTCCCTGTCCTCCATGTGCCTTAGCATGGCTTCTAGGAGGATCTGTGCCATGATCTTCCCAGGCACAGAGATGAGGCTGACACGTTGGTAGTTCCCGAAGTCTTCCTTTCTACCCTTTTTAAAGATGGGTATGTTTCCCCTTTTCCAGTCACCTGGGACTTCACCTGAATGCCATGACTTTTCAAATATCATCGAGAGTGGCTTGGCAATTACAGCAGCCAATTCCAACTAATGCTATAATTTTTAACGTCTCATGTCCTCATGAACTCTTGATACTTTTCTCTAAAACATATTAACTTGTCTTTTAACTATAAATTGAAATGAAAAGAAGACAAAGCTATGAAGATCCTTTAATTTCTTTTTGCAGAGAAGGCACTGTGGTGTTTTTTACCATTTTTCCTCTGTCCTTTTGACATTTCCAGCTCAATTATGTGTTCTTAAACAGAGGA